AGTGAAGGGGGGTGCCCATTTGACAACCTTCTGAGCCTACCCAACTCCGATTCCAGTCACAGAGACCTAGTGGTGCCTTGAGGGAAGGAAAGAGAGAGAGAGAGAGAGCAATGCCACTGGCCCACAGATGGTGCAGGGGCAAGTACCTGTAAAATTGGGCCAGTTGCGATATCCCTTATCGTATTTTGCATATCGGGGATTTTCCAAAGTGCCACCTTACTTCTTTAGTAGAGAGGAATTTCCCTTCATGCTGGAGACATGTGGGTTCAAATCCAGACTGGAGATGAAGAACTCATGAAATATTTTTATTCAATTAAAATCAATAAATATCTCAGGTGCTGTTAAATTATATTTTACAACAAAGCTTTGCATTGAGAAAAGCTCCAAAATCTTCATTAAGAAATCAGAATTAAGCATCACAGTGTAATTAAAATCCCCATCACCTCCACCTCCATATTTAGTGCCGTTTCCTTGCTATAAATTCACAACATGAACTAAAGAAAAAATCCACAGGATGTAGCCATCAGTAAAAACAATAATTTAATACATCTTGAGATTTATACCAATTTCCATTCATATATTTTTCTGTTTTCAGGAATATCTAGAAGCATTGATGGAAGCAAATAAACTTAGTAAAGCTGTTTCACAGGGAGAGCCAGAAACTATCAGTATCAGCTTTTTGTATTAAGTCATGAACCAAAGTTTAGGTTCTTACTCATCATTTCTGTGTAATTCAGTAAGTAAAGGTATGTAAACACATAAAGGTGAACATAAATATAAGTACTGGACCACACCTGATTTAACAACATTTTTATATTGATTTACTGTTAGCTCCTTTTTGCACTTGCTTGGTTACACTTTGATGCATTCTTCACATCGTGCAAACAAACACATAAAACTTTAATTCTCATTTATTTCCCTTGCATGCATTGACTTGTCTCTCCGCCTTAAGTCTTATTTTGCAGCTGGAACAGTTTTGCCTTCTCTTTTAATATGTGTTTTTGGTAATATCCATATGGAGACATTAATGTTTTAATTGTATTGGTGAGAAATGCACACTTTGAGGTTTCCTGTTTCCTCCTGTTGACATTGTGGATCGGCTTTTTTGTGTTCCATTGACGAAGGCCTCTTATTATACTCACACTTGCCCTGAATTCTGGGCTAGCCTGAATCAGGGTTAACTTAGATGGTTTATATCACCTTTTCTAAAACATAAAATCCTCTAAGTCACAAAACCAAATAACTTGACATAGGATAGCTGCTCTCAGAAACTCTCAGAAAATTAATCCCTCAATCTCAAACAGGGCCATGAAGAGCGGTGGAAACTGTTGGATTTAAACCTATGTACTCTCACATGAATTCATTTAACCTTGTAAACATTTCAATGTTCATAGATATTGAATAATTTGGTATTTTTAACTTCAGGATGTGTGAGGAAATCAATAGAGTGCTATATGGGATTTATTCTCCTCACCTATGATCAATTAGTTGCCTTCACTTCCAGGCCATCTAGCTGGGGATGGTATGGAGTGTTTTACAGCACTGGGGAATATTCACATATAGGGGGTGTTTACAAGGTTAATCCTTCCTGAACATATTCCTGAGAATTGAGGGAAGATATCGGGATCTGGAAAATATCGGAGTGGCGCTTTAGGCTTTTAAATTGTGGATTTGGATGCTGTGAGTGAGATCACATTACTGGGCTGGTTTTGCCACTTTGGTGCTGCAGCGTGATCTCTGTAAAGATCTTTATATCAAAAAAAGTGCTGCAAGTTGAGAGCTGCTCGAAGTGCTTTGTGACGCCAACAGTGAAGCGTCCTAGTACAATCCACGTGTTTTGATGCTTCTGTGAATTTCCTTCCCATTCTGCCCCAAAACAGTGCCATCAATAAAGAGTGGGATCAATGGAGGCAGAGATAAAGTGAGTGAGGGTGAAAGTGAGTCAGAAAGACAAAGTGGTGCCAGATTAGAACAGAGGAACCAACAGGCGAATGGAGACAGCACATCTGTTAGTGGCTGGAGATCATGGCAGGCCAGAGACACTAAGGAGCTTACAGTTTTAATCACAATGGGACACTACGGCCATAGTGGAGTGCAGCATTACAGAAATGGGCCACCCTTATCCACCGTCAGCTCCACCGGACAGTCTGGACGGTAATCTATCCAGCTACATTATACTTCTTATGTCAGCCCACAGAGCTGATGAGCTTCCAAAAATCATTTCTTTACATTTCTGAGGTTTATATTAAATTTCCTAAAGGTGCAACAACAAAATGAAAACACAAACCCATGATATCTGCACCAACAGCATGATTAACGATCTGAAAGTAAAGCTGCTTTTCTAAATTCCTGAAGAGCAGATCTTCACATCATTCAGAAAAAGAAAAAAACAACATAATCCCCCAAAGATGTCGCCGACAAGCTTTGCGTTCAAATGCTTGCCATTGTGTGTCGACTTCAGCATATAAAGGCAGGATTCAGAGAAACAGAAATGGAGAGAAAGAGAGAGGGACGAACAGAGGGTAGGACAAAGGGGAGCATTTCAGAGCAGTTTGCTTCCTGTCAAAGGCTTCACCCCTCTTACACCCACCTTCCCCACCTGCCTGCCCGCCACCAGCCATAGCTCACACCGTGTGACACACTTCTTCCCCTGGCTCGGCTGAGCCGTGCACCGCCTGCAGTCTGCTGCTGCCTGTGTGTGGGTGAATGTGTGTGTGTGTCCTTCAACAAACTCTGCGCTGTCCTTCAGCTGAATCTGTTCAGATTGTCCTCACACTAAACTCTCAGCAGGCCCAGCCCATCAATACTTCATTCCCCGCTGCACCATTTGCTGCACAGTCCAAGGCGGAGCGAGTTTATTTCTGTTGCACCTTTCATACACAAGGTGACTCAAATTCTTAAAGTTGCACCACTTTTATTAGTGATGCGTCACTTGTTATTATTAGATTGCATGCATCACTTAACTAGAGGCCCAATACAAATAAAAAAAAAAGAAATGGGTAAGAACTGATAATATAAACTTTGGCTGACGGGTCTACTGGTTTATATCAGAACAGGAACTCTATTTATTTATCATGTCTTGATCTTAATAAATAGAAATTAATAAAAGGGACACCATTACATCTTACACCACCTAAGTACTGTACGAAAAGAGAAATGCACTGGGATTTATTTGATTTGTTTTTAAATCATTGTAGGCTAATTTAAAAAATTGACTTAGTGTCTGTCTAACTCTGGGACAAGAACTGTGCTGCATAGTGACCATTGTGGTATGCTCTGTAATTATTTTTTATTTCAATTGTTCCTAGTTGATTGCTCCACTTTGCATGTTTTGAATCAGCAGCAATAACTTCCATTTTCGTTACTAGGTGACTGCAAGCAGAGGTAGATAATCCAGATCTAGAAAGAATAAAAAAGCCTCTACAGACATGAGCTCTAACCATTTGTGTTTTCAGTTTCACAATGCAGAGTGAGGGCAAATCATCTGGTTAAAGAAGGATATAGACAGTGAAATCTATTTCCTAGAACTTGGGTATCCATCTTTGAAGTGACTGTCATCATGTAGTGACAGAGAAATGAAGTTGTCTATAAATAGCACATAGTCAGATACTAAAATAATCTGTAATTTAACACAGAAGGTGCACTGAGATTTTGAACCAAAAGGGGCTTAAAACATTACCATGAGGAACGCCACATTTTACATATTTATTTTTTTATTAATAAACAATATAATGTTTTATTACTCATACTTATGATGCTAAAGTTGTCTGTGGTTACCAAGATTTGAAATTTGCCAGAGTGTCAGTTCTCATCCATCAGAGCTTACAGTAATATTATAAATTAGTTGAAGTACTAGGGTACTTCAAGAGTACAAATCTGGTGGCATTATCCATAAAACATTAAACGTGTAATTGCATATTTAAGACATAAATTAAGCTGACTTACAAAATGAACTAAGTTAATAAAACTGAATAAAATTGTTTTTTCTCATTTTTGCCAGCTTATGAATTTTGTGTTTTGATCAACTTCTAAATTACAAACTTTAAACCACTCAACATAAAGAACGTTTGTAGGATGTATAGTGATTACAGATCCTTGATCTCCATGGAATCGGTAACAAAACAAATAATAGTAAAGCCAGTTGTAGCTTTCTAAAATGTATAGAAAGATAAAACTACCCATATCTATGCCAGAGGAACAAATATGAAGGTTTGTAAAAGAAATTATTAGTTTAAAAGTTGTAAATAAACAATGTGAATTAGATTTTTTATTTTTTTTTATAATCTCCCTTCTTTTTTTAATACAGAACTGATGTATTTAGGTTTTCATGAGCTAACTGAGAATGTGTCTGTGTGTTTATATGCAGTTGAAGGAGGCAGAGAATCTGTCTCAGAGTGTGGCATCGATGGGAGAAGAGGCGAGGGAATTCCTTCCCAGGGCCTACCTGGCTCTGGGGCTCAGCTTCAGTCTTCAGGCCTCTGAGGGTAAAGTCAGACCTCGTCTCTCCTCTTATGGAAGCTCAGAAAGGCCACATGGCTGTGTATATGGATGCATTTATTTTTGGATTTAAAATTCCTTTCCTGTTATGTGACAAGCTAACTATGATTATAATTTTTTGTTTTTCTACCTGCAGCCACTCTGTCAGCTGATCGAAATGAGTTAAACAAAAAAGCCCTTCATGCATTAAACAAGTATGTATCACTAAGGCAGAGACAATCATCATTTTTGCATACTATTTTCATTTTATTTTACAATATACAAACTTGGTTGTCTTTTATTGGGAGATAGACCAAAATAAAATAAAGAAAGGAAAGAGATACATATTTATCACAACTTCTTTCAAATAAAAATGTTAAATCTATGGCTTGAATTTATATTCTCCTCCCATATGGAAACTGTTGCAGCTCCACCTTTGGCTGTAGATAAAGCAGCTTGTCTTTTTGGAGCATTTCTCAGCCAGATTCATTCATTTAGAGATTAGCCAATCCTTTGGAAAATTAGCTAACACTGTCGGAATGCATGGAGCGGCTGGGACATCCCAGCGCGCAAATATGATTTAATTTCAATCAGTGAGCTGTAGCTATTTTCCTGGCATTTCTCCCCTTCTCTCATGAAAGAAATTATCCCCATGGCATGATGGTGCCACCACCATATTTCTCCATGGGGATGGCTTGTTCAGATTAATGTGCAATATTACTGTTCCAGCAGACCTAAGATAAATGTTTAAATGGAACTGCTAATGCGTTTCCTTAAGCTATATTCTTACCGCTTTAGACATGAAATATGCTGAGATGAAATTAATAAATCTTTTGACATCAGAATGTCATTTTATTGAGAAAAAAACCCTAAAAAAGTTAGTTTTTAAAACCATGTATCTTTTTCATTCTGCCTCAAAACTTTGTTCTGCCCTATCATATAAAATCCTAATAAAATGTTTAAGATCTTTAGACTGAAGTGTGACGAAATTCTTGTTTTCCTCTTTCTTTCCTCCGCAGAGCTAATTCCTTAGACCCCCAGGATGCTCAGATTTCCATGTACCTGGCTCTCCAACTGGCCCTCGTACGCCAGGTATGAGCAATCCTTTGAGTTAGCTCACACTGAGTCAGTAGTTCCACCTGAAAACAAGTGGGTGCCTTTCAGGTGTCAGCAGCCATGGAGCCTCTGCAGACGGCTTTATCTCTGCGTCCAGATGACTTGCTCTCCCTCCACCTACTGACCCTGCTGCTCAGTTCCCAGAAACATCACCGCCACGCCCTAGACACCCTGACCCTGGCGCTCAGTCAGCATCCGGATAACTTCAAGTAAAACAAAACAAACACACAAAAAACCACTGCAACACATCAAACAAACAACAAAAAAAAAAAAAAAACATGTGGTTGAAAAGCCAGAGTGCAAAGTCGTTTTGTTTCTAATAGCGCCTGTGATGAAAAGCAGCTCCAGTGGGATCTGCAGTGAGGTCTCCTCAGTGGGGATAGGGTGTCTTGGCTGCACTATGGTGGAAGCCAAGCGCACAAACACAGGCATCATCTTGACGCCTTATTTAGACGTGCCAGAGTGGGAAGCCTGCATTGCGGTACCTATGCCCCTCATGCACCCTTACCCTTTCACCACTGCAATTTAAACCACAATCTTAGTGCTACTTTTGTGGTACTACTGGCCTAAGATATCGCCTTGCACATGCATGCATCTATCCTGTGCTCAGAAGTATTTCTGACATGCAAACTACTTCTGTTTGGCAAGCAGTAATGAGGAATCCACTGAAACAGTCACTGCTTGCTATATTTGTGCTACAATTTGGCAGTATAACTTATTTAATAGGTGAAATAAATTATAAATTTGAAATCATTTCTCAATAAATGTCATAAATATTGCAGCATTTTAAAAGTGTCTGCCTCAGAGTATATATTCTGTTGTTTCACCGACAATACAATAACACTAGGAAGGCGCTCATTACCTGAGGAGAGTGGCCTGCTTTGTCAGACGTGCAGTAAAACCTGCCAAGGCCGATCCTCTCACACTAATATGGCAGCATGTTGCACATGCCTCTGATGTGCTTTCAGAGCTCTGAAAAGCATTTCATATTACAGCCATTTGGGGTCAGTGTTGGCCTCCACGGTCCCAGGACAAACAGATGGGTGATTGTCAAACATGCAAGTGGAGGGGGGAGAATTGGGGGCTGGGGGTAGAGAACAGAAAAACAAGAAAATTGATGAAATAGCGAAGGACATCTGAGCCTGACAGGAAGCGTCGGAAAGGATGCGAGTGGGTGGGCGCTTTTATAACTGCACAAGCCGATCCTTTGCTGCATGTACAGTTGGATGATGAAGTCTGTTCCCCGTCTGCCTGGATGCACGGTCACACACTTAGAGACAAGCACACACACTTTATACACCTCCTCAGTGGAGACACTTAACTGCTCTGACCCATTTAAGAGCTCCTTGCCAAGCTTGGCCAATCACATCGCTCTTTGCTCCAGGAATCCCCCATTGCCCCGGTAACCGTTAGGTCACACGGATAGAGCAGGCAGTGGTTGTTGTGTTGAACTGTTGTTCTGCGAAAAAAAATAAAAAATGTTGAGTCAGAGGGAAGCAGGGACAGTGACATAACTACGATTTTAGTCTCTTACAGAAGACATGTACAGACATTCTAGTGAACTAATGAACCTGCATTTTAAAAAACTTCCAAAAAAGGCATACAATGAAGAACATGTATCTAATGACTGTATGAAGCTGTATCTAATGAAGTCATTAGATGCACCTGTGCATTGACTGAACACAAAAATCCAAAATGCTCGATGTATTCAGACAACTAGATGAGGTAATGATGAAGATGAAACCAGCATCAGTTTGGGAAAGACCAGAAGAACCTTTTAAGCCCTGTTAGCTTGAAAGGTTCCCTCCTTTCCCAGAACAAATTAGATGGTAGCATTCTCAGATTAATAATGTGCAGAAATAATCCTGAGTGCTGTACATTATCAGCCTGGCCTGCCAAACACTGTATGCCTGTAAATGTACAAGGTCAGGATTTCTTCAATGATAAAAAATTATTTATCTTAAAATCTTAATCAGAGTAATAACAATAAAATTCCTATTTTGTTAATAGACAAATTGTAAGACTGACAAAAATCCTAAAAAATACAATGCGGTTTTTATGTGGCATATAGCAAACCACTGAGTTGAATAGTGAGAAAATCTCACTGGTTTTCTGACTTTTACGTGTAAGTTTCATGTGAGCTAGTGCTACATGCATTCATTCAAAAGACTTAGACTTGGACAGATTTATTTTGTCATTTTGTATACACCAGTGTAAACAAAAATAAATTTTGTTTAAAACAGCTCTAGACAATTTCATTTTTTAAATTGCAGCCTTGAAAAAACTAATAAATACATAAAAAATAGTAATATAAACATATGCCTGCATATTTACAGTTCTAACAGAAGCTGTTCTGGAATCTCCTGGACCTGCATCGGATGCTTCGAAGCCTCTTCCCAGAGGACAGCAGGGAGAACAGTCCATGGCGGGGGTGTGAGGGGTCATTGATGATAAAACCTCAGATTCTAAATTCTGATTTAAAAACATTTTCTTCAACAACCCAGAAATCAGACATAAAACAGTTAAGGTGAGACCTGTCTGTACTCAACTGACCTTAAGGTCAGAAAAGCACCAGAGATTAAATATTTACTTGCACTTCTCAGGATTTTATCTGTTAAATTAAACATCACTGAACAGTTGCAAATCCACTGGTTTACATGATTATTTTGTGGCTGACATCTTACCCAAGGTAAATAATAGCCATCTTTAGTGGCTACCTGGTAAACCAATTAAATAAAATTCAATTCACAACACGTCATCTCAAGGCACTTTACAGTTCACCAGATCATACAGTCAAACTGATTCAAAGTCCTCTATCTAAGGAAAACCAGTTGATTGCATCGACACATTGACTCAAATGCAATCCGTCACACTAAGCATGCTTGTAGCGACAGTGGAGAGCAAAAACTCCCTTTTAACAGGAAGAAACCTCCAGCAGAACAAGGCTCAGTGTGAGCGGCCATCTGCCGACACCGACTGGGGTTCAAGGAGACAGAAGCAGAGATACAAAAAGCAGCTGTAAAATGCGGCAGCTGTAAAAAACAGACAGCCAGGCAGTCAAGCTCCGAGCCAGCTCCCATGTCAGAGGATGAAGAGAGCACATCCAGCCAGTCACAGTCAGAGAAACAGGACTACACTGGAAAACAGGCCGATCTCCAGCATCTATAAAGAACGGTGTTGATTGCAGCAGCACAGCTAATAGTTCTCTCCAGGATGGTGTCACAACCAAACAGGAACAGATGATGCACAGATACTATGAGAAAAAGCAGAGAGAGCATAACGTTAGATATTGAACTAACAGATTCTGCAAAGTGGGAGAATAGAGATAGAATGATGAAATGAGGGTCCCTATGTCCTCCAGAAGTCTAAGCCTAACCAGGCAGGTATTTGTTAGGGACTGGTGCACAGGTCAGAAAATCAAAGTGCAAAATGACAATAAATGCTTACTTAGGGCTATTATTAATATAACTACAGTCAGTGTGTCTCATATTTGCTCATTTATTAGCCAGTATCAGCAAGTTTGTATAACACGAGGCAAAAAGCAACAACTGGAGAAGAGAAAAAACAGTCATTGCTGACTTGTTATAAACAGTAAGCCTGCTGTGGAAACACTACCACGTGTCTTTGTTGCTGAATGCCCTAGCAAATGTTGATTTATTTTTTTCAGGTGCTGTTTTCTTTAACTTTTTCACATTTAATCACATCATAAACATATCATAACTATATACTGAACATTATTGGATATTTATGGGAAGGACCAACATCATCGGTGCATTGTTGTGAAGTGGACTGATTGGTTTGGTTTTTTCTAATACAATTCATAAGTTGACAAATCTAGCTTGCATTTTTATAAAACCCACTTTAAACGGATTCCTCCAGTTAGAATAAATTGCAACTAATCACCTTCAGAAGGGTCCCATTGCTGTGACACATTATATTTTCCCTATTGACAGTTTTCTTCCCTAATAAATCAAGAACACAATTAGTAAAAGACTTTTGCATCACTTTATCTGAATTTTCTGTGAAGCATACAGAGCAGGTTTCTGGAACCTGTGGTTCCTTAGCTATAGGCAGCTCTTTAGACCCTGGACATCGGCCCTCCATCACAGGCTAAAAATGATAAAAACCAGATCATTTTCTCCAGTATAGATATTACAAACAAATGCTTTGTTTAGCCCCTTTCCATTGACAAATTGCATTGAATCGAAATGATAGATATTGATTTAATATTTTTTCTATTCTTAAAAAGATAATGTAATGTTTGCAGCTTGAAAAAAGTTTTATTAGCTAGAATGAAGTCAAAAATTCCCTTTTTGGACTGTAAAGGTTGCAGACCTCCCTGCCTCACAGGTTTATTAGAGAACAATAGTGAACAAAAAACCACCATAAAGACAAAAGAACCATGCAGAAATGTCAGGGAAAGAGTTGTGTAAATGTTAAATGTGGCTTTGGGCTCTAAAAGAATATGGAAAACTATAAAAACATGGCTAGTAGCCCCCTAAAGTAACAGGCCTGTCATATAGAGTAAGTATAAACAGCCAGCATATTGATATTAACACCAGAGGACAAATATCAGCAACTCATACTTTAGAAAACAACTTTAATCCATGCATTGTTTAAACCAGCATTTTAGAAAAGGGCCCAGGAAAGCCATAAGATGTAGCTGTTAATTGTTTGACGGCAACATAAAGGTTATTGGTCATATGAGGCCAACATACATTTTGGCCTGGATATAAAATACTGTATACTTCTGAAACAGTGGTGAAAGCATCATGCTCATGTTTTACCTTGCAAATTGATCAAAAACACTGAAGGTCCAGCAAAGACTTTAATAGGATAGATTAGCAGAGTCCAAGCATTGCTAAGATTGAAAACGAATCTGTGTTCTACCTAAAGAAAATATTGTAAGGCACCAACCAGTGCATTATTTAAACCGAAATGATGAAATATTGAACATTTATTCAGTAAAGCTTTTCTGATTTTGTGTTTGAACCTTGTCACTGAGGACCTGCTGAGCTGAGGCCCGGGCTGCAGAGCTCAAAGTCAGAATACAAGGCTCCCAACAGAGACAGAGAGAGACGATGAAAGGAGGTGTTTTCTCAGCTGGAAGCCCATAGAATATCATTCACTTTGGAAGTGTGAGCGAGCATCAGAGATCAAAGCTAACATTGTGCACAGTGCTGAGGACTGACTGGTGTGTGTTTAATATGTGCATAGTTGCACTTGTGTGTTGCGTGGGTGCCAGGACGGGAACATTTGTCCGATATTGCACATGCATGTATATCTGTGTGCCTGTTGGTTTTCTTTGCCGTGTGCACATGGATGTGTGCGACTCTTGTTAGCCATTGGCTCTCTGCACCACAGCGAACTGTCAGCTCGCTGTAGCATACCAAATTTCTGCTTCCTCGTTTTCTCCCGCATCCTCTACCCCCGGCTTCTGCCTTCTTCTGTCTCCATCCTGTCACTCTCCTCTTTTTTTCTTCTTCTCACCCTCATTTTTCTATCCTTGCACACACTTACATTTAACTCTCTTTCTTAATTTATTCCTCGTTGTCTTTGAAATTGTAATCGCATAGTAAACAGGCATGCCTTTCAACATAAGCCTGGTGGAGCTGAGGCAACAGAAGAAGGGGTTGCAAGGTTGTGTGTGTGTGTTTGTGTGTTTATGTGCATGTGTGAGTGTTTTTTGGGGGTGAGGGGTGATTATGATCTCACAGTTTGTACTAAAGGAATGATTAATCCCAGCCTTTGGTTCAGCATTCATCTGAGGGGATGCTGCAGCAGGAGTATGTGTGGGGTGTGCAAATATTGGTTGCTATACTTTTGCATGGCTGGCTTACTGTACGTTAGGCTGCACATTGAAAGCATATCTGCATAGACTAGTCTGTGATATATTTATATATGCACATGTGCATTCTTGTGCATTACATTTACGCTTGTCGTACATCTGCAATTTTTCTGTTCACGCCTCATGTGCTTCCAAAGACTACGCTCTCTGATCTGTGGGAGTACAGAATGAGTAACACAGTAGATGTACCACTCCTTTCAGGGGGGAACATCATTAGCTATTTTTATGTGTGGAGTTTACGCTGGCACTCACCACTCTCAGCACTCCGACACCGAGCGTTTACTCAGAGCTGCGCCACTCGCTGACTTCACTGCTCAAACACTACGCTCTGCACACGACCGGCTCAGTCCCAGGAGGCAGGAAAATGACAGGCTGCCTAATCCGCTGTGTAGTTTCAAGTGTTGTAATCTTGGTGAAATCTATCTTTTCTGACGCTGCCTGGGAAAACACAGATTGTACTTAGGCACAGAGGAGCAAGGTGGAATGGGTTTTATATTATCCTCAACCTGATTAGACTGACAATATTAGTAATATTGTAAAAAAAAAGTAGATATTTTGAATAAATGTGTCTTATAATCCTAAATTCAGATTGTTACATTTATTTCTACATTTTATTATGCGTGACTAATGTTTACAATTGGTCCAATTCAGGCCTTTCCTTCATGAGAACTATTCTCCAGCTGCTTCTTCATTCTCCTTCTGTTATCCTGGTGATATTTTAAACTGCTCTCCATGAAAGGTGATGCAGGACCTTGCAGCTGTGCAAAGGGTTAAAAATATTTCTCCTTCCTGCAAAGCCTCTCTTCTTTAGCTCCTACAGCGTGTGCAAACTGTTCTTAAACAGGGTTAGGAAGGACATAAATCAGCTGATTAAAAAATGACAATAATTGAAATGTTGTTGCTGTTTGAACATTAAATTCCAACTAGTTCTGAAATTAGATGAAGGAGGCTAATAAGAGAACGTTGGTAGATTCAAATTCATGCCGAAAAGGTTTGCTGTAAAATTGCATTTAAGTTATTTACGGCCTGAACAGTGAACCTGCTGGAGGAAGAACAATTCAGATGCATCATTAAACCCTAATGAGGAGTGTCCGTAAATGTTTCACTGGCTCCATCTTCCATGAAGCTCCAGCATGATCTACTATTTATTCTTGCTATTTTGCTAACTAGAACTAATCCAAGCTTAGAGAGATTTTTCCGGGTCTTACAGTGAGGCGACAAAGAGAGAATCACTTTGTGCGCCGGATATGCCGCTGTATTCATACCTTCCGTCACCTGGATGAGCTTACACCATCCCTTACCTGCTAAGAGCTCTGTCACACTGAGACACCCACCATCACACAGACACACTCTCTGGTGAACTCCTGCTGGCAGCCGTATCCTTAACACAGCCTCCCTCTGCAGCACTTGTCATCTGTGTGCCAGTAAATCCAACCTCCTTCCTCCCACACATACATGCACCATCACACACTTTTAACTTTTTTCTGCACAAAAATCCCTCCATGCTTCATTTTGGCTTTCCGCAAAATCAGTCAGTTGGAAGCAAGACTCATTTCTGCAAAAGTTTTCTCCCCTGACATAAGTCTGTCCTCATCACCCCATCATTGATCCTCAGCCCTGACAGAGCAGCAGTTCTTCCCTTCATCTCTCCATCCCTCCGTCCTTTCTCACTCTTATGGATGATTGATGCCCATGACAGGCTGCATTCTCTGAGAGCCCCTTCTGGCAATTATCCACACAGAAACCAATACACACACAAATCCTCGTCTTTCTATATGTAGCGGGGCTCATGTGGTGACTTCCATTGATTTTCAGTTATTTTCAACCCTTTCTTATACCCTAAACACAATAATTACAAGTGCATACCTAAGCCTTTACTAAATCTAATTCACATCTAAGTCCTAAACCTAACTGTTAGCAAAATATGAAGTGATTACCAACAAAATGTCCTGAGTTTGGTACAAACTGTCCTAAATTTGATTGTGAAATTGGTAAAATGGTCCTCATTGTGATGACATAACAGATACACACACACACACACACACACACACACACAGAAACTGTGTGCACATCAGAGACTCCCACATCACTTAACCAGTTGTCTTCAACTAAAAGGGCAAAGCAGAAACACTCTGCAGCTCATCAGAGTCAGAAACTCCTTAGAGCTTGTTTCTGATCAACTTTCCCTTCAGTTTTTTCCCCATTGATCTATGCAGGTATCAGTTAAATCCATGAACTCTTGACGTGGCCTGAGGTGATTTACATTTAGATTAAGATGATTCAAATTCACATAGAAGACCCCAATGTGTGTTTCAAGAATTAAAAATCCTTATTTCTTGGAAATCCATCAACCTTCCTTTTCCCTTATGTTGTTTTGTTGCAAAAATAAACTGGTAGACTTGTTTTACTTCAGAATCCGGCTTTAGGTTAGTCAATACTTTAATTATGCAACAGTAATTACTGCTCACACCCCATTACATTTCTGAGAACTGACCTGAAGTGAAAGGAAGACTGGCCATTCCAACACTGGAATACGCTTTGATCTAAACCATTACAGTGTAGCTGTGGGTGGGTGTTTCAAGGTATCGTCTTCCTGGAAAGAGAACCTCCACGGTCTGAAGCTTTGTCGTTGGAATTCCTTGCATTTAGATCCACGTATTTTTCTATCAACTTTGTCCAGCTTCCCTGCTCCAGCAAAACTAAACAAGACCCACAGCATCATGGCGCCACCGTGTTTCAGGGTCGGGGTGGTGGATTCAAACTGGCATGAACGCCTAACTCACAGAGAGTTTTCCAATGTGTCTAGGAAGTAAAATTTTGAAGCTTCTTTCATATGTCGGCTGTGTCCAACACATGATTCAAATGGCTATCTTTTAAAATAGCGCTCTTGTTGCAACTCATCCATAAATACCAGAATTTTGCAATAATAACAGTTGTTAAAAGGTTCTTCTATTTAAGGTGTAGAACTCCAAAGATCTTTAAGAATCATCTTTATGCAGTCTTTTTAGGGGGGCAATGTCTTGTTGGCAGTAGCGTAAGGCTATTTGCAATGTTTGATGATGGATTGACTGGAGCCCTGGGAGATGTTCTACTCCTGGGATTTAATAAACATCCACAACTTTATTCCTGATAAATCTGCTATGTTCCTTGGTCTTAATGAAGGCGTTTGTTCAATATATTACTTTAACAAAGCTCTGGAGGCTTATGAGAACAGCTGGATTTATACTGAGACTAAATTGAACCCAAGCTGGGGTCGGTCTTCTAATTTGCAGTAAAGCCTAAGAATGCATTACAAACACAGAAAACACATTTCAGGTTTTTATTTATAAGTATTGATGTACAGACCATTAAATCTTTTCCGATCACTGCTATGCGCTGCTCTGTGTGCCACATAAAATTCCAAATGAAATACACTTTATTTTGTGGATTTAATGTAATAAAAGCATAGAGTACAGTATCAATTTCTGAGGCAATTTACACTCTCAACAAGATTTGCAAGATAAACCATTAACAGCAGTTGGTCTTATTACAAAGTGACTAATTTAGATATATGTATTGGTTCAGTTTGCTGTTGACGAAGGTGAAGCTTGAAGAGGCCATGTTTGGACCCGCTACAGCCCTGCAGACCTGTGAGGAGATGCTGCAACGCTGGCAGAGTCAGCATGATGTCAGTCGCTCCAGGTAAATGTGCACATGACAGATTAAAGCCTCTGCTGCTTTGCTTATCACACAACACTCAAGTGTTTCTTGTGTAAAGAGCAAAGTGACGTGTCTCTACTCATAACCATCAGCCACTGAAGAGTCTCAAGCAACAGTTTGGACGTAGATATGAGTGTTGTCTCACATGGAGCAGGAACAGTTTTTACTTACAGTTGGATCATTTCCTGCCTTTCTCCTTAAGTATTACTTTATACAGTGATTATAATTTTACAATGTCTCACAATTAAAAGTTATGGGAGTTAAAAAAAAGAATAAAATATCTTCTGCTAAAAGTAGTTGTTTTTAGATTAGAGTCACTTTCAGACCAGATTAAAACAGCTTAAAAGACCTCTGGATTTCTTTAAAGGTTGCAGGATTTAAGAAAAAAAAATTTTTTAATCACAGTTTAATAATGAGGAATATAATAGGATAGCTTTAAATAATCCTTTATTGTCCTAGTGTAGTGTAAAATATAAAACAAGAAAACTGGGTGCAAAAAAAAGAAATTCTCAACAAATTTTGTCCTGTTGTTGAATAAATATTCATTGCTGCTGAGTCGGACTGGGTATTGATTCAAATTTCAAGAATCTATTTTATTCTGAATCTCAGGATTTACTATCGATTCCTTTCGATCTGATCTGATCTGATTCAATCTTGAGGTGCCTAAACCAGAAGGAAGCTTTCTCTGTTGCAGCTCCAAAAATGTGCAACTACCTCCCATTGCATTTTAAGAAGTCTACTTCAGTCAGATTTTAAATGACACCTTTTCACATCTCAGTATTTTAAACTGATTCTGATTTTTTTCCTTTTTGTTTTGCCGAAAACAGTGATTTAGGTCTCACATTGGTACACAATGCTTACTTCATTTTTTCTTTATCTTGATATTAAAATCACTATAAAAGTGTTAAAATAAACATAATCTATTAACAAGTACTGATGAATTTAAGTCTGTTTTGTTTTTTTTATTTTTGTGAAGTTTCTCTGATAAATGGTATTACTTTTCATTTACAGTTGGATGATTTCAAATGTTCGATAGATATACCCATAAAGAAATGCTGAATCGGCATCCCCCTTTGATTATTATGCTTTGTTACAGTTATCTTGGCAAATACCGGTATGTTTTAATGTTGGAGCTCCCTTTAATTCCCACGTATACATCACATTTTGCAGTGAGACAGATGACAGCAGCAGTATACCGATGGCTGAGAGGTCAGAGGTCAACCCTGTTGTCAGGAAGCCCTCCATCCATCTAAACCTCCCTGACTTCCAGGACACCTCCACAGGTCTGCTTTGCACATGATTTAAGTTTTCTCCACTATTTCTGCCACTATGCATGTTTGGAATCCAATATCTGTTGTAAAAAAAAAAAAAAAAAGTGTTGATCACATCCCTCACCTTCTGGATTATGGGTAAATACATGTGAAAAGCTTCATTTGCAGGTCATGCTGAATGTTCCTACATTTCACCTGTTCTAGATTAAAACTCTGTTTGCACGCCTGCACCCCGGTTCAGAGGAGCAGATGTACTGTTTAAATATCAATTATGTAACCAAACCCTGCACCTGTGTTCATCACAGGAAGATGTTCAAACAGGAAATTTCTTCATTTCCTGAAAATTGGAAGGCTTGTTGACATATTTTAAAGTTTCACCCAATGTTCTTTTAAAAGTATGGTACCATATTTCTCAGAGGTGAAGCTAATTTTTTCCTCCTGTGGCAGGATCCCTCAGCCCTCCATCGGTGGCAGTGTCCCGTCTGGAAGCAGCGCTGTCAGAGGTGTCAGACCTGAGCTCCACCCGCCGTCAAGGACCTACTTACATCTGGGCCACTCTGGAGCGTATCTGGCTGCAGGCTGGTATGAATGATACTGATATTACTGGTCCTTTTGCACTGGTAAATCTCCTGGAAAATTAGATTTTTAAGTTTTCTTTTTTTATTCCCAAGAAGGGAGCACACACGCAACTTTTCAGAATGCATATCATGTGAGCTGAATTGCAGGTGATTCAAAATACCAGCCAATTATCACAATCTTAACCTAGAAAATGAACTGCTGTACAGAAACATTTGGTTTAAATAAAGACTCCCAGTAATTAGATTCCCATGGTTTTCCATTTATGGTGGCCCTAATAACTTTATTTTATTAGCAAGTTACAATACAGGTAGGTCTAAATAACTAGCATATATTTGAAAGTCTATTTTTTTTGTTAAAAAGTTACAACTTGTAGATATATATATTTTTTTTTATTTTAAAGAGGATCCCTCACAGCAGAGCTTTACTGTGGTGGAGAGGCGGTTGTAGACCAGTTTTACCCGGGGGGGGCAAGGTGGGGAAAGTTTTTTTTTCTTTTTTAATGGGGGCAGAGAGCAAATTAATAAAAAAACAAAACAACAAAAAAAACAGGAAAATAGTTTATCATTTAATATATCAAGAGAACAATCATGGCTCTGGAGAGTTTGGCAGCAGATTAAATTTGTGATATCTCAATTAATCTGACGCTAAAAATGCAAAAATGGAATTTTGAAATACCTGTAATATTTTTTTTTAAATGAAATTGAATCAATATTATGTCTTCTACACAAAAGGTCCTAAGTTTGAATGTTTGCATGTTTTTATTGTTTAAGAAATTAGTTGTGGATAATTCTTCCCAAAAACATTACTGCACATGAGTCTAAGGCTGGATGTCGATTTATGTTTCTAAGAATCAACTCAAATCCGATTCTCTAAAGTTAGAATTGATTCTTTTTGATCCAATCCAAATCGGATCTTAAAGTGGAATGCCTGTATTATAAACATTGTTTTTAGCTGCTACCTGGATTGCATGCTGTGTATCTGTCTAACATATTGAGATTAGTTTTATGTTAACATTCAGCAGCAAATTAATTTATTATGGTTTTTAATGGCAGCTATAAGAACTGTTAAAAATGCACTTTTTTAATCAACCTTTTGTTATATGATTCAATCTGTATGTATAAATATGAGAGTTGATTTAGAATTGAAAAATGTACTGTTTTTTTTACCACAGTACTACTATGCTTTAACGTTGTCCTAAAGTAGGAGGATTAATGGATGGGTAGCAGATAAAAGTTTCATTTTTGGAAAATGTGAATAATACTTGGAAAACATATTTTTTAACTCTGAATTTTATTGTGCTAAACAGTTATTGTAAACACGGAAGACTTGACTGTTGTTGGGCAGACTGTCACCAACATTATCCACAGAGGAAGATAAGCCACTGAAGGTTATTTGTCCTGCTTGTTTACCAGGTAGTGTAGCTAGATAAATGCTGAGTGGAAATTAATAAATAGTGTAGAAATAAAACCTTCAGCAATTAGTGGTTCGTTAATTCATTTCCAGTCGAAGTTCATTACACTTCAAATCATGTTCTTATTATTTTAGTTTAATTGACTGCTCTGATTTATTTTGTTTAAAAAAAAAACAGCTTTCTCACCCACCCCTCATACTCCTGGGTGATGTGGGTGGCTTCTACCTCTCCAGATCGGGTCCTCTACCAGAGGACTGGGAGCTTAAGGGTTCATCGCCGTATCTTAGCTCTACTTAGAACTGCACATTTCTGGTCTGAGATCTCTGATGTTTCTCCAGGTTTCTGTCGCAGCCACCTCTCAAGTGTGGGGGTTTCTGCCCTCGGTGGTTCAGTGACTACAGTTACCGAGAAATTAATTATTCATATTAAAATTAAATGATAAAATGCTCTTATACAAATTAATGTATGTATTTTCTGATTCGCACCAATTAAACTACTACTAGTTAGTTATATAAGCAGTTATTTTCCTCTTAGTAACATTTCTTAGAAGCAAAACAGAACAAACAAAAATGAACTACATAAGAGGAATTCAAAGAATTAATATCTAGAGTGTTATCAGGTTTTCTAACTTTGTCAATATTCCATTAATGTGTCTCTTTTCAAAGTTTGAACAAAGGGGTTCCCTCCCTTAATTTACATAAATAATATCCTGCCCTAGATGAGAAAGGAAATAAGAAATCCAGTCCAGGAACCTGTTTGGTCTTTATCCTGGACAGAACTTTATTATCAAATGCCTTACTTTGGCCATGGTTGTTATTGCATCACTTCTCAATGAAGCAGACTGGGTGTCCTGACCTGTGGTGCAAATGTCCCCTTTCCCAGCTCCACTGACGAGGGAAGGACCGAAGGTCATTCTATAAAAGGGAGTTAGCCCCATATTTTCACATGTATTAATATTTGACCCCAGCTGCTTCATGGTCAAAAACTAGACCAAGGAGAAAAATGACTGGATTGTTGTTTAGTGGTGCAGAGTTTTCTTTTTAGATTAAAGTCAATTTGCCTTTAATTTGGAATTTTGGGAAATTTCCATCTTAAAAACAATAGAGAGGAACAATATATTATCCTAAATCATTGGTGAGAACATGTTTTTGAAGTTTATTATTGAAGGAATTGAAAGGCTTTAAACAGTAGGGGACGACTATATGAGCTTCAAATAGTTTGTTGGTTCCGGGTCAACTTAATGACACAGATTTCTACCCATTAGAAGCTCCTCCAGTGGGAAATATATGATGTCTCACTGTCAGGTCTCAAATCTTTAATAAATTGTCCTGTTGATGGTTCATGACCTGGCTGCATTTAAAATCGTGTCATTGGCAAATCTAGACAACTTAAGTTCACTTTGGAAATCATGGTCCACCACCAACGGTTGGTATGAAGTGTTTGAGCTGCTGTTCACCTCTCTAAATATGGCACCGCCATTTATGTTCTATTGTCTCACCTTCCCATAGGAAACTCATTAAGATGTAATTGATCTTTTAAGCCATCTAAATGATTATTTTTACGTAATGTGACTGGATATCACATGTATATATGTATTTATTTACAACAAAGATTAAACATAGCTACAGAATCTCTTAAAGTCACAGTCTTTGAAACCTTCTTTACGTCTAAAACCATCTGGGCAAAGAAATTCAAGTCAAATGTGACTAAAGATAGTTTCTATTTTCAGTGGAATGAAAAGCCAACTGTGCAGTTGTAGCAGTGGAAGCTGCACAGCCTCTGAGTCTTACACAACTTACTGACCTGTTTATATGCTCAATTTAATTTCAGCCTCTCAGGGGACTAAGACATTGTTTATGCACTTGATGCAACATGAGCAGACTTTATTTTTTTGTTGCTTTGAGCATCAAAAATTCAACCAGGATACCTTTTTATTTTTGAGGAAAGTCAAAGTTCTAATAAAAGAAGTTATTTATCCACCCAAGACTTAATCCAATTTATGTTCAACATTACATAACTCAGTAATGGTATGAATGATCTTATAATTTAATGTGATTACTAAGAGCACTGACGCCATTTAATTTTCCATCTGTTTTGAAAGACCTACCTTTGTGCTAAATAATTTCACCTCTTAGCTGATCGTTTATGTTCTGTTTTTTGGAGAAATTACACCATTCAAGGGAATGACTTTAAACCTCTTAAATAAGCTTTGGAAACTATCTTGGGACCGTTAGGAGGGAATGAGGAGAAGCATCATTCAACCATTCATCCACATAGAGCCATTAGACCAAACCTAAAAAGCTGTTTACCAAAACATTTCTCTATAAGCGCCATGGTTTTATGACACCACAGCTTTGTGTAAAAATGTTACCTTCTGGACTTTTGATAAGTAGTGGCACATGGTCTAAATTACACATTCAGACTTAAATAATATTAATATACAACCTTAGAGTAACCTGTGGTTATATATGTCTTTTTTACAAGTTTAACGTAAAAAACAGACTATTATTATCGACATAAAGAATCATCATCAAGCTGGTTGGTTTCCGGGAACAGACTGGTTGGTTTGTTTTTAAATACTCGTCAGTTGGAAAAGCCTTTTTTAATCATCAACCCAAACATTCAACCCTTGATAAAAGGATATTAGCCTTGATACACAGTAAATAAATCCACAGATAAAGAAGTCTTCAGCTGCTATGGATCAGAGTCTGCTGGAAAAACCAATGTTGATGTCCTGAGTAGCAGTTTTATATCAAAATAGGTCTTCATAGGAGATATGTGAGAGACTTCTTAGAACCAAAAAGGCTAAACAAGGACTGTTCTGCTTGGTTTAATTCTCCAAGAGCTCAGGTGAAGAGCAGGAGGATACCTTGCATAACCCGATCTGTCCTCCTGAAATTATGCACAGGAACCCCGAGGCTTGGAGCCGACATCCCATAGAGGTAGCATGCATGCATTAAGTGTTTCCCATCTGTGCATTTGTGAGGCACAGGTAAACAAACAAAACACCCTCGATCTCTCTCACACACACACACACACACGGAGACCTGGACTCTCAGAGGCAGACGGAGCTTTCAGTATATTTACCCAGCTCAGCTCAACCAGTCTCTGTCTCTCACACTTCCACATGAGGGTTCCTTCCTTATGGTCTCTCCAGGTGTGGACCCATGGTCCACTCTTATAAATGACTGACGGCTCACTGCTCCGCTTTCCTGCCCTGCAACTGGCCAACATTATCCTCAAAGGCAGGTTCTTCCCTGGGCTCTTTGCTTCAGTTCATTGGAGAGTGAGGTGCTTGTGGGCGTGATTCATTTTGTAAGTAAGTGTTTTGTGTCTGGGGTTTGTCCTCATCTTCCCAGCAGCGGGGAAAGGACGCCCACAGCTTTCATATTGGATGTCCATATTTAGGCAGGAGTTTCTTGTCAACACAAGCTTTACTCTGCAGCCAATCTCTATTTCATCCTTTGAAAGAGTTTGTGTTTATCTGAGTATCTGACAATTGCAGATTTTATGCTATGACCTGGTAGTTTATATGTCTCCGGCAATAATTTTTTTTTCATGTGGTTATTTGAACAGAGAATAACCCCGCCTCCCGCCCAACACAGCCTGATAAAGAGTAGAATAAATCATATGTTTCATGTTTGGATAAATATAGAAAAATAAAATGTAGATTTGTAAAATATTTTCTTATGTTATCTTTTTTTCCTGTTCTGTGTTCCTTAAGCAAGCTCTCCCCAATCCTCTCTTTCCTGCAGGGGAGCTATTCATGGCAGACGGCCGGCTAAAGGAAGCCCAGTTCTGCATAGCGGAGGCCAGCTCACTCTTCCCCAACTCCCACTCGGTGCTCCTGCAGCGGGGCCGCCTGGCTGAGCGGAGGGGCCAAATGGACGAAGCCAAGGCACTGTACGATGAGGCCCTTGCCATCCATCCAACGGGAGAGCACATACTGGTGCAAATGGTGAGTGAATAAAAAGGATTTTGGCTTTAAAATGAATATCCATCCTTTTTTCGTCACGCTTATCCCAGCTGGGGTCGTGAAGGGTTCTGGTTCCTATCTCCAGCTGTCATTGGGCAAGAGGTGGGGTACATCCTGGACAGGTCACCAGTCCATCGTAGGAAAAGACAGAGACAAACAGGACAAACAACCATTCAAACACACCTAAGGTGGATTTAGAGAAGCCAATTGACCTAACAGTCATGTTTTTGGACTGTGGGAGGAAACAGGAGTACCCGGAGAGAACCCACACATGCACAGAGAGAACATGCAAAATCCATGCAGAAAGACCCCAGGCAAGGAACAGAACCCAAAACCTTCTTCCTGCAAGGCAGCAGTGCTATCCACTGCTCCACTGTGCAGCCAATCAAGCTTAATAATAGAATTTAAAAAACACTGCTCTTTGTGTCGTTCTATTAGTCTAGTCATGCATGTGTAGTCAACATCCATGCCTGAACTAATAGATTAAGTGCTTAATTTAGGTCTTCTTAATTAGCTTTGACATTTGTGCAAACAATAAAATCAGATCTATCTGTTTATAACATTTACTTACATAAACCAAAAAATCTCTTCCACATTGGTTGGCACATTTGCTATTAATAAAAGGTAAGTAAAAAAAATTGACTTTTCTGGTCCTACTCACCACTTAAATCTCTTTACACTGTCCTGTTTAACGGTACAGTTGATGGTTTCTCCTCATGAAAATGGATCAGTTGATCTTTTTAACCACCCTGTCTCCCTATACAGGATGAGAACATCATCCTTGAAAGAGGAACCACTGGCCTGCAGAGTGCAGATATCTGCTAAATGTTGGTCTGATGATGGTGCTTTTCTATCTTTCTTTAGTGAATGATATCTGGTCAGATCCCTCCTGTCATCTATCGGTGTATAGATCGTTACTCTGTTCATGCCGGAGGACCTTGACTTGAACCAGTCTTTGCCCTGATGTGTTTTGGGGTTTGATAAATAAACGCTTCAGTTTCTCTGACACTCCTGCAGCATAAGGAATAAGGAGTGCTTGATTGGGTCTAAGTTTTGGCTCCACCTTTTATGAAAATCAACGTCTGCCTTACCTTTAACACAAAATAGGAATTTGTTTGTCTTTTTTCTCATTTTGAAGAATCACTAGAACAAGCTGGCATCATTGACATTATGAGCTTTTTACCCAAGGGAGGAGGCAAATCATGGATTTCTCATTCAACCTTTAGAAATTGGTTTTAGAAAGTAAACTATCAGTTTAAACATGCACACCTGGATTGATTTCAGTTGTATTGAAGTTGTTACAGATGCCACTAAATGTAACTGGTAATTGATTTATTTATTTTTGCAATGAATGATTGATCCGGAGGCTTTTCACGTACCTTTAAAAGGGGCTGCATTAGACTGAAGGGTGCCACATAAGCCAAAATGCCACATTCAGGATGATGTTGCTTCATTGACTTAACAAATTACATTTCTTAGTTTGTTACACCAGACATCGACTCACACATGCTGGAGGAAGGTTCATTAATTTGAGATTTACATAAAATTCTATAATTCCTTGCAACTAATTTTCTTGGGCGGCAGAGTGTTTCTGCTGTCAGATCCAAGTGATGTAACATGGCGTAATAACAGAGCTCATAGATATTTAAGACATTAGATAAAAGAAGTATAATGTCGAATGCACCACTGCCTCTAAGTTAATACCAAGGAAGTTCTTTATTGCTTGATATTGTCTCTGACAGTTACTAAAACATCCATGAGCACCGAGCACATTAAGGTCATAACAGTCAGTTGTCTATTATCTTTTTTTCATCCATCAATCTTCCCCTCTGTCTCGACTGATCTAAGTTTCACTCCTGTGATTGAAGTTTTTTAGCCTGATCTTCAGAAGGTTTATATTTCTTAAAGCAGGTACAGACGTATTTGTACGTGCAGAGCAGATCTTTACTGAAGGTGCAAAGAGATTTGCGTTTGAAATTCAGCAGGGCGGCTTGTGCAAACCTTTTTTTTTTTTTTTTTTAGTATGTGTCTGTATCAATATGCAGATCAGCTTTTCCAAATCAGCTGCAGTTTTAGTGTCTTTTTTATTACTGCTGGAAGTTAGGAGCAAACTGACATGCAAAAATATCTGCAGTCATTGTTGACACAAAGGAGGCATTGATGCAATGCAGAGGATGGAGAGAGATTCTGTCTGCATGTAAACACTGTCATAAATAACAATAGTAACATAAGATTATTAATTAAAAAGATAAAAAAAAACATCAGGCTAGGTCAAATTATTATAGCAGGACAGTGAAAAGTGAAGCGGTTATGTTTTGTTTTCTTTTGTCTTAGCACCTTGAGATGCTTTGAGTTCACTATAAATGTTATTTTGCACTATCAATATCATTTCTTTTTTAATATGTATCATTATTACCTCCATCTACATGACTTTGAATCTCATCTATCCTCTCAAACCGCATGTAGAACACACAACCTGCTCATGTTAAAGAGGGGAACCAAATTGGTCTGCACAGTTTTTGAAGATCGTCCTTAAGCAGCCACTTATTGCATTTACTAAAATGAAATGATTATTTTTGCATCTCACATTTGGAATCTGAAGATCATACCCTTTGTCTTTTAATTTAGGTAAGATGTTTCCTGTCTATTCCCATGTTCTCTTCTTTACCTCCATATTTATTGACCCCCGGTTGAGTTTAACCTACAAGTTGGTGGAGGTGTTTATGTGAGACCTGAATTTAGCAGTGAGCTCACATTTTTGGCATTTTTGCAGGTTTCTGTTAGCCTGTTTCAGAATAGCAGAACAAAAGAACTGCTTATTTCTTCTCCATGTTTGCTATGAATAAAACAAAACATCAGCAGTATCTTCTACCTTAAAGTTTTTAAGAGGATTGCAATGCATTGGAGCTTTTATTGTTATGTTTGTAAAACTGCAGGAAGTGTTGAGAGTGTTCTTTTCTAACCTTCACTGACAATCTTTTTACCAGATAGATGTTTATATTAACACAATTCACACATCGTTTAATGAAATCAGAAATTGTAAATAGCATTTTATATTCTTAGATTTTTTTTTTTTTGTCTTTCATTAAGTGCATTTATAAAATACTTGGCTGTGCTAAAAGGAAAACAGAACTATTACTCTCTTTATCAACCAGCATAGCCAAGCCTTGATGCAATTTGGGGGTGTGTGTGCCTTATTCCAGAAGCAAGTACTCTATAGCCCCATTTTCTTTCTGTCTGAATAGAGTGCGGCATTAAAATTTTTTTGGCACATGGAGATTTGGGATTGGTAGTTGCGTCTCTGTGGTGAGAACCATTTGGCTATAAAAGAATAATTTGTCACACTACAGAGGTGTTCAACAGTTATGTACCATTACAATCTGGGCATGAAAAGATCAGTGGCTTTGTACATGCCCAAAAAACTCAGGAAGTTTTTCCTGTTTAATATGTCACAGGAAGCCCTCTGTATTCCTTATATATCATCTATCCTATCAAAGAATATACAAAGATCATCACTTTTTTTTCTTTTTTGCTTTTGCCTTAATGCAATTTTCTAGGATCGCCCACAACTGTTACAATATAAATGTGCTTTTCTCAAGCAGAAATATAAAGACTATTAAATATAGACAACAAAGTTCAAATAGTGTATCAAGTTTCTGTTTCTCTCCATATTACTCCTTTTTTTATTACATCCCATCAACTGTTTTCTCTCTGTCACAGTATAAAGATCTTCCTCCCACTTCTCACTTCCCATTCCACTGCCAGTTTGTCTTCCAGATGATCCATTGGATTATGCACTACTAGTCTGACCTCTGAACTCCCACTGTTGTCATGGCAAAGGGATCTTAGGGAGGGATACCCCCCCAAGAAACCAAGACTGTCACCCAACGACAATCCTACACACACAGTAACTGCGTATGTTTCCATGGTTACAGTAGATGTGCTGCTTGATATTTTGACTTCGGATCTTGCCATCTTGTTACCACATAAGGCTAATGTGTTTGCTCCTACTGTGCTCTTTTGGATGGTTTTGTGTGTCTGTATGAAAGTGCAGTCCCAGGGGTGGACGGAGGTTCGTATCTCTTCCTTATTTGGCCTGTGGGAGAACCAATCCCTAGGGGTGAAAAGTTGAAACAAAGCCAGCTGGCCGAGTCCTGCTCTGGGTCTCTTGCAGGACAGATGTGCTCTCAGCTTGTGTGTGTGCCTGTGTGTGATGGTGTGAGTATACTTTGTTTGTGTGTGCATGCCAGCTTTCCTCCATGGATTTGGTGCACATAAGGACTCTTTGTGCCTTTTTTTAAGTGAACTAAATGTATGCAATTGGATTTGGGCACTTATTTTGAGAGGTTGTAATTGACCCACATACGAAGATTCAACATAAAACATCAAAAGTTGTGGAATAGGACTGCATTAGAGGAGCTAATGGAAGACACACAAAGAGGAAAACACTGTGTGGGACATTTGATTTGAAAGACTGCCAATATTGTGTCATGCATTAGCCTGCTAAAATGCAACCTACAGTCTCTGCTACTCGACGGCCGAGGCTTCAAGCATTTATTTTTATACTGGATCTGCTGTGGACACATTGTGTGCCAGTGGCCCATTTATTCTCCTCTGCCTTAAGGGGAATTCTGATGATATTCTTGGTTGATATCTTTTTTTTTCTCTTGAGCAATTATTCTGCAAAAGTACATACTGTACTGTGAGGGACCATCCTTCAGATGGTTTGAAGCTTTTATTTACTTGGCAACAAATGAAACATGCTCTCCCAAAGGGGTGAGACAGAAATTTCCTCTTGTTCTGATTCAATTTTTCTGATTTAAATTACATTTTTACATTTTTTTAAGAACTATGAAAGATTAAAAAAAATTCACAATTTTCTATTATACGTTCATAATGTTTTTGACCCATTTTAACTCCTGGGTAATTCTAAGAGTATGTTTATCTGGATCCCCTTCTCCTTCCAGAAGAGCATCTGTGAG